TTATCTTATCTTATCTTATAATATCTTAAAATGATGATAAAAAATTCTCAGAATAATGAATTAGTATCTCAAAACACCGAGAAACGTTCTCAACATTTTTTATATCTCAAAACTATGTTATAAATGTGCAAAAGCTCATAAATATATATTTAAAAAATTTAGAAAATGCAGTTAAAAATTGTTTTGAAGAAACAACGCTCTTATTTTGTTAAACCGGACTGGATGTCGCGTTCCTGTTCCCGCGAGCTTGCCGCCCGCAGTGACCGCGTCAGAGTCAGGAAACGAGCCGAGCCGAGCCGAGCCGACACATACCATACCAGAGAGAGGGACTAGTAGTCGTGGTTGACCTCCGTTGTTGTCCCCATTGTGTTTTGATCGTGCTGGTGTCGTGTGATCTTCTGTGTCGTAGTCACTGTGGTGTGTGTGTTGTTGTTTTTCTGTTCTGTGTTGTGTGTGGTTTGTCTTTTTTGTTTGTGTCTGTCTTGTTTGTGTGTGTGTGTTCTCTGTGTGTTCTGTTGGTTTGTCTGTTTACTGTTCTCTTTTTTTGGTGTTTGTTCTTGTGTTGTTTCAAACTACGCTAGCTGAATGTGTCGAGGACGACTCGTTGTGGTGAGCTCGGTGGCTCAGTGCGTGTGTGTCTGTGTGTGTGTGTGTGTCTGTGTCTGTGTGTGTGTGGGTGTGTCTGTTGTGTGTGTGTGTGTGTCGTTGTGGTTGTCTGTGTCTGTGTGTGTGTGTCTGTGTGTGGTGTGTGATGCTCTGTGTGTTGTGTGTGTGTGTGGTCTGTGTTGTTGTGTGTTGTGTGTGTCCTGTGTGTTGTGTCTGTGTGTGTCTCTGTGTGTGTGTCTCTGTGGTGTGTGTGTGTGTTTTGTTTGTCTGTGTGTTGTGTGTGTCTCTGTGTGTGTGTCTGTGTGTGTGTGTGTGTCTGTGTGTGTGTTCTGTGTGTGTGTGTGTGTTGTGTGTGTGTTGGTGTGTGTCTGTGTGTGTGTTGTGTGTCTGTCTGTGTGTGTGTGGTGTGTGTGTGTGTGTGTCTGTCTGTGTGTGTGTGTGTGTGTGTGTGTTACTGTGTGTGTGTGGTGTGTGGTGTCTGTGTGTCTGGTGTGTGTCTTGTGTGGGTGTGTCTGTTGTGTGTGTGTGTGTGTGTGTGTGTGGTGTCTGTCTCTGTGTGTGTGTGTTGTGTGTGTGTGTGTGTTCTGTCCTCTGTGTGTGTGTGTGTGTTGTCTGTCTCTGTGTGTGTGTGTGTGTGTGTGGTTCTGTGTGTGTCTGTGTGTGTGTGAGTTGTGTGTTACTGTGTCTCTGTGTGTGTGTGTGTGTGTGTGTCTGTGGTGTGTGGTGTTGTGTCTGTGTGTGTGTTGTGTGTGTCTGTGTGTTTGTGTGTCTGTGTCTGTGTGTGTGTGTGTGTCTGTGTGTGTTGTGTGTGTGTCTGTGTGTTGTGTGTGTCTGTGTGTGTGTGTTGTGTGTGGTGTGTGTCTGTGTGTGTGTTGTGTGTGTGTGTGTCTTTGTGTGTGTGTGTGTGTGGTGTGTGTGTTGTGTGTTGTCCTGTGTGGTGGTGTCTGTGTGTGTCTCTGTGTGTGTGTGTGTGTGTGTGGTGTGTGTGTCTGTGTGTGTGTCTGTGTGTGTCTCTGTGTGTTTCTGTGTGTGTGTGTGTGTCTGGTGTGGTGTGTTGTGTGTGTGTGTGTGTGTGTGTGTGTTGTGTGTGTGTGTGGTAGGTCTGTGTTTGTGTGTGTGTCTGTCTGTTGTGTGTGTGTGTGTGTGTGTTGTGTGTCTGTCTGTGTGTGTTGTGTGTGTGTTGTTACTGTGTGGTGTGTTGTGTGTGTCTGTGTGTCTGTGTGTGTCTCTGTGTGTGTTGTCTGTGTGTGTGTGTGGTTGTGTGTGTGTGTCTGTCTCTGTGTGTTGTCGTGGTGTGTGTGTGTGTGTGTGTCTGTCTCTGTGTGTGTGTGTGTGTGTGTCTGTCTCTGTGTGTGTTGTGTGTGTGTGTGTATCTGTGGTCTGTGTGTGTGTGAGTCTGTAATGTTACTGTTGCTCTGTGTGTTGTTGTGTGTGTGTGTTTTTGTGTCCTGTGTGTCTGTGGTGTGTGTGTGTCTGTGTGTGTGTTTGTTCTGTGTCGTGTGTGTCTGTGTGTGTGTGTGTGTCTGTGTGTTGTGTTGTCTGTGTGTGTGTGTGTGTCTGTGTGTGTTGTGTGTGTCCCTGTGTGGTGTGTGTGTTGTGTGTGTGTGTGTGTGTTGTGTGTGTGTGTGTGTGTGTGTGTGTGTGTGTTGTTGTGTGTGTGTGTCTGTGTGGTCTCTGTGTGTGTGTGTGTGTGTGTGTGTTGTCTGTGTGTCTGTGTGTGTCTCTGTGTGTGTGTCAAGGCTGTGTTGTGTGTGTGTGTGTGTGTGTGTGTGTGGTGTGTGTGTGTGTGTGTGTGTGTGTCTGTCTCTGTGTGATGTGTGTGTGTGTGTGTGTGTCTGTCCTCTGTGTGTGTTGTGGTGGTGTCTCTGTGTGTGTTGTGTGAGTCTGTGTGTTACGTGTCTCTATGTGTGTGTGTGGTGTGTGTCTGTGTCTGTGTGTTGTGTGTGTGTGTGTCTGTGTGTGTGTGTTTGGTGTGTGTGTTTGTGTCTGTGTGTGTGTGTGTCTGTGTGTGTGTGTGTGTGTGTGTCTGTCTGTGTGTTGGTGTGTGTTGTGTGTGTGTCTGTGTGTGTGGTGTGTGTGTCTGTGTGTGTGTGTGTGTGTGTGTGTGTTGTGTGTCTGTGTTGTGTTGTCTGTGTGTGTCTCTGTGTGTGTGTTGTTGTGTTTCTGTGTGTGTGTGTGTGTGTGGTGTGTGTGTGTGTCTGTGTGTGTCTCTCCTGTGTGTGTGTGTGTGTGTGTCTGTGTGTTTGTGTGTGTGTGTCTGTGTGTCTGTCTCTGTGTGTGTGTGTGTGTGTCTGTGTGTGTTTCTGTGTGTGTGTGTGTACTGTGTGTGTGTGTGTTGTGTGTTACTGTGTGTGTGTGTGTGTCTCTGTTGTGTGTTGTGTGTGTCTGTTGTGTGTGTGTGTGTGTGTCTGTGTCTTGTGTCTGTGTGTGTGTGTGTCTGTGTTTCTGTGTGTGTGTTTTGTGTTGTGTTGTGTGTGTCTGTGTGTGTGTGTGTGTCTTGTGTGTGTGTGTGTGTTCTGTGTGTGTGTCTGTGTGTGTGTGTGTTGTCTGTGTGTGTGTGTGTGTGTTTGTGTGTGTGTGTGTGTCTGTGTGTGTGTTTCTGTTGTGTTCTGTGTGTTTCTGTGTGTGTCTGTGTGTGTGTGTGTGTGTGTGTGTGTGTGTGTGCTGTGTGTGTCTCTTCTGTGTGTGTGTGTGTGTGTGTGTTGTGGTGTTACTGGGTGTTGTGTGTCTGTGTGTTACTGTGTTGTGTGTGTGTGGTTCTGTGGTGTCTGTGTGTGTGTGTGTTTTACTGTGGTGTGTGGTGTGTCTGTGTGTTACTGTGTGGTGTGTGTGTCTCTGTGTGTGTGTGTGTGTGTGTGTGTCTTGTGTGTTGGTGTGTGTGTGTTCTGTGTGTGTCTCTGTGTGTGGTGTTGTGTGTGTGTGTGTGTCTGTTGTTACTTGTTGTGTTGTGTGTGTCTCTGTGTGTGTGTGTGTGTGTGTGTGTGGTGTTACTGTGTGTGTGGTGTGTGTCTCTGTGTGTGTGTGTGTGTCTCTGTGTGTGTGTGTGTTGTGTCTCTGTGTGTGTGTGTGTTACTGTGTTGTCTGTGTGTGTTGTGTGTGTGTGTGTGTTCTCCTGTGTGTGTGTTGTCTCTGTGTTCTCGTTGTTGTGTGTTTACGTGTGTGTCTGTGTGTTTGTGTGTGTGTGTGTTCTTGTGTGTGTGTGTCTCTGCTGTGTCTCCTGGTGTGTTGTGTGTCTTCTGTGTGTGTGTGTCTTCTGTGTGTGGTGTTCTCTGTGTGTTCTGTTGTGTGTTGTGTGTCAGCAGATGGTAACTGTAACTGTAATTAAAAAGTTAAACAGCAGTGTTTGCTGTCTTAACATGATAAGATTTATAAAATATATTTAATGGACATAAAGAGAACTAAGTCAAACCTGGTTCTTATTTTCAGCTTGTTATATTTTAAAATTTTAATGATTATCTGAAAATTCAAAATAAAAAAGGAGAAGAATAATTCCAATGTGAAAGTTTGTATCTTTTATTTGTTCAGTAAATAGTAAAACTTTTAATAATAATGAAATTATCCCCTAACAGGCTTGAATGAACTACGAGTGTGTGTGGGACTGTTTAACTCAACACCATTCAGTTAATAATGAGACCAACAAACGACGGCCCAGCCCTCCACCAAGCACTGTAAAGCAACTCCCTCTCCTCCTTCCTCTCCCTCCCTCCTCCCTCACTCCCTCTCTCTCCCTCCTCCCTCCCTCCTCCTCCTCTCTCCTTCCCTCCCCCTCCTCTCTCTCCTTCCTCCTCTCTTCCTTTCCTCCTCCCTGCTTACCAGAGATTACACCTCCGCTTAAGAGTTCATCCTGAGGACAACGTGCTGACAACTGACACCAACTGGAAGAGGCCATAAAAGCCTGACAGTGGGAGGGATCTTTACCTCATTTTCCTCAATTGTTCCTCATTGTTCCTGCGAAATTGTTTCCATCCCAATTATTCCCACTGATATCCCAAACGGCAAAGGGCTGGCCGTAAACGTCACATGGAACGAGTTCCGTCGTAATCAGAGTCCGGGGCTCGGGGAGCAATGATCATGTTTTGGGAAAGCAGCGTGTGTTGTTAAAAGCAAGCATGTTCATATTTACGAAACCAAAGATAAAATAAAGTCTGAAGTCTTTACAGCTGAAGCACAAAGCAGCAGTTTCTATTAACGCGCTGTAAGAGCGAAAGCAGAGATCACTTCTCACCACGAAATAATCTGTAAAATGTGGTTTGTGGCCTCAACGCTAGACTAAACGAAAGCTTCAGTCTCTACAAGTTGATTTTTCACAGCAGAACAAGCAGCAGCTAGGAAACTGCAGTTCCTGTAACGCCACTAGAGGCTGGCTCCATACTGAAGGTTACTTGTGTTTAAACCTTCCACAACACGTCTTGCGTATCGTCTTGCGATCTGTTACGTTGTTCGCCCTTCCTCCGCAGTCTTTGGGAAAATGCTTTATGACACAACTTCCTGTCTTTGAATGGTTTTCAAACATAAAATCCCCAAAAAGCTCATTTTTGATTCCAACGATGTTTTAACAAAACGTATAGAACAGGAATGAGAACATGTACAAACAACCAGTCATGTTTGAGTCCATCAACAGATTCAACACCATTTTAATAGCCACTGCCTTCTGCTTTATTATTTTATTATTTCTAATATTTAATCAATTATAGGTTGAGCGATGATTATTGAATTCCTCCTGCAACACGCTTTAAATGCTCTGATAAATGAACAATTTAAGAGTCACAACTGTTGTTGTCTTGTGTTTGTTGTGTAAACCAATAGTGACAACAGTTTAGATCAGGATAATGGAGAATATATAAATCATCTATCTCTGCTCACTACCGTTCTTCAGCTCAAACTTCTCTTAATTGTTCGATGAAGAATAAAAATGAAGATGTTCATTTGATTCCTCCATTGGCAATAAAAACCAATAAAGGACCACAAATAAAATGTTTAAATAAAACTACACAGAATAAAGTGGGATATGGTTTAGATGACAAAAGGTTAAAGGTTGATAACAGCATTATAATGATGCCTGTAGTTTTGATGTTGTTTGTTTGAAAGACCAACAAATTGTCCCCTTTATTTATAATTGTCTGGTGTGTTTCACCCATAACTGCAGCACCAACGGGTATGTAAGATATACATTAAATTAGGAGCCCTTAAATTTAAACCTGGAGGAAGCTCTGCATTTGCAGTATCACAAAGCATCACATATACAGCCTGCTGCCCTGCCGCGTGGGCCCTCACAGCCGATCAATCACATGATTTGATCGGTTTTATCCACACACAAACACACACACACTGGTTAACACACACCAACACACACACACACACTGTAACACACACACAACACACACTGTAACACTCACGCTCCTTGTCCTCTGCCCCGGCTTCGAATGCTTGCTCCATGTTACACAGTTCCTCTTGTTTTTATCTCCGTCCTCTTCATCCTTCCACTGTTGGACAACTGTCTTGTCTCTCCTGCTTGTCTCCTCTCTCTACCTGGTCTGCCTGCCCTGTTGTTCTGTCTGTCGGGTAAACAGCAACGTGTCCCAGTGAAACCTCCCGCAAGCCCAAACTGAAGTTGAATCCCAGAACAGCCATTCTCCCCTCTGTCCATCCCTTCCTGTCCATCTCTCTGTTCTCTCTCTTGAAAGCCAACTGAAAACCTACAAACTGCTATCTGGATTGACAGGCCTGTCAATTAAACCCCGCCAAGTTTTTACCTTACGCAATAAAAAAAAGGGGCTTGTTGCTTCTTCGCGCGGTAGTTAGTCACCCGCGGGGTAAAACTTGCTCCTGCCGGGTGGTATTTAATGTTAAGGTGAGTTGACGTTAGTAAGGCGTTGCCTTCACTCCCCGCTGCCGTGCCAACCCGAAGCGGGCCAAACCGCGGCTACCTGCTAACGCTACCCAACGGCTACCTGCCCTCAGTCACCGTGAAACCGGTGACACGGTCGAGCGTAACGGCCGGCGCCTTCCGGAGGATTCCCGCCTCAACGCTGCGGCCCTTTGTTCCGGGCTCGGCGAGTTATCCGACCGTTGAACGTCCTCCGCAGACGAGCGTCATCCTCGGTGTGTGTGTGTGTGGTGTGTGTGTGTGCGCGACGCCGGGGCTCTTGTGTTTACT